TCCCACCAACAGTGCAAGAGGGTTCACTTTTCTCCACACCCTCTCCAGCATTTATTGTTTGTAGGTTTTTTGATGATGGCCATTCTGACACATGTAAGGTGATACCTCATTGTAGTATGGATTTGCATTTCTCTAATGATTAGTGATGTTGAGCATCCTTTCATGTGCTTGTGGGAAACCTGTATATCTTCTTTGCAGAAATGTCTATTTAGGTCTTCTGCCCATCTGTGTATTGGGTTGTTTCTGCTTTTGACATTGAGTTGCATGAGCTGCTTGTAAATTTTGGAGGTCAACCCTTTGTCAATTGCTTCATCTGCAAATATTTTCTCCCATTGTGAGGGTTGTCTTTTCATCTTGTTTATGGTTTCCTTTGCTGTGCAAAAGCTTTTTAAGTTTCATTAGGTCCCATTGGTTTATTTTTGTTTTTATTTCCATTTCTCTAGGAGGTAGGTCAAAAAGGATCTTGCAGTGATTTATGTAATAGAGTGTTCTGCCTATGTTTTCCTCTAAGAGTTTTATAGTGTCTGGCCTTACATTTAGGTCTTTAATCCATTTTTAGTTTATTTTTGTGTATGGTATTAAGGAGTGCTCTAATTCCATTCTTTTGCATGTAGTTGTCCAGTTTTCCCAGCACCATTTATTGAATAGGCTGTCTGTTCTCCATTGTATATTCTTGCCTCAATTATCAAAAATAAGGTGACCATATGTGCATGGGATTATCTCTGGGCTTTCTATCCTGTTCCATTGATCTATATTTCTGTTTTTTTGTGCCAGTACCATACTGTCTTGATTACTGTAGCTTTGTAGCATAGTCTGAAGTGTGGGAGCCTGATGCCTCCAGCTCCGTTTTTCTTTCTCAAGATTGCTTTGGCTATTCAGGGTCTTTTTTGTTTCCATACAACTTGTGAAAATTTTTGTTCTAGTTTTGTGAAAAACGCCATTGCTAGTTTGATAGGGATTGCATTCAATATATAGATTGGCTGGTATACCCATTTTCACAATGCTGACTTTTCCAATCCAATAACATAGTATATCTCTCCATCTGTTTGTATCATCTTTAATTTCTTTCATCAGTGTCTTATAGCTTGCTGCATACAGGTCTTTTGCCTCCTTAGGTAGGTTTATTCCTAGGTATTTTATTCTTTTTGTTGCAATGGTAAATGTGTTTCCTTAATTTCTCTTTCAGATTGTTCATCACTAGTGTATAGGAATGCAAGGTATTTCTGTGCACTAATTTTGTATCCTGCTATGTTACCAAATTCATTGATTAGCTCCAGTAGCTTCCTGGTAGCATCTTTAGGATTCTCTATGTATAATATCATGTCATCTGTAAACAGTGACAGCTTTACTTCTTTTCCAGTTTGGATTCCTTTTCTTTCTTTTTCTTCTCTGATGGCTGTGGCTAAAACTTCTAAAACGATGTTGAATAATAGTGGTGAGAGTGGGCAACCTTGCCTTTTTTTTATCTTAGAAGAAATGGTTTCAATTTTTCACCATTGAGAACGATGTTGGCTGTGGGTTTGTCATATATGGCCTTTATTATGTTGCGGTAAGTTCCTCTATGTCTACTTTCTGGAGGGTTTTTAATTTAAATGGGTGGTGAATTTTATTGAAAGCTTTTTCTGCATCTATCGAGATATTCATATGTTTTTTATCCTTCAATTTGCTTATATGGTGTATCACATTGATTGATTTACATATATTGAAGAATCCTTGCATTACTGAGTTAAACCCCACTTCATCATAGTATATGATCCTTTTAATGTGCTGTTGGATTCTGTTTGCTAGTATTTTGTTGAGGGTTTTTGAATCTATGTTTATCAGTGATATTGGCCTGCAGTTTTCTTTCTTGTGACATCTTTGTCTGGTTTTGGTATCAGGGTGATATTTGCCTCGTAGAATGAGTTGGGCCATGTTCCTCCCTCTGCTATATTTTGGAAAAGTTTGAGAAGGATAAGTATTAGCTCTTCTCTAAATGTTTGATAGAATTTACCTGTGAAGCCATCTGGTCCTGGGCTTTTGTTTGTTGGAAGATTTTTAATCACAGTCTCAATTTCAGTGCTTGTGATATGTCTGTTTATATTTTCTATTTCTTCCTGGTTCAGTCTCAGAAGGTTGTGCTTTTCTAAGAATTTTCCCATTTCTTCCAGGTTGTCCATTTTATTATCATATAGTTGCTGGTAGCAATCTCTCATGATCCTTTGTATTTCTGCAGTGTTAGTTGTTATTTCTTTTTCATTTCTAATTCTATTGATTTGAGACTTCTCCCTTTTTTTCTTGATGTGTCTGGCTAATGCTTTATCAATTTTGTTTATTTTCTCCAAGAATGGCTTTTAGTTTTATTGATCTTTGCTATTGTTTCCTCCACTTCTTTTTCATTTATTTCTGCTCTGATCTTTATGATTTCCTTCCCTCTGCTAATTTTGGTGGTTTTTTGTTAGTATTTCTCTAATTGCTTTAGGTGTAAAGTTAGGTTGATTATTTTAAGTGTTTCTTGTTTCTTGAGGTAGGATTTTACTGTTATAAACTTCCTTCTTAGAACTGCTTTTGCTGCATCCCATAGGATTTTGGTCATCGTGTTTTCATGTCATTTGTTTCTAGGTATTTTTTAATTACCTCTTTGGTTTCTTCCATGATCTCTTGGTTATTTAGTAGTGTATTGTTTAGCCTCCATGTGTTTATATTTTCCACAGAATTTTTCCTATAATTGATATCTAGTCTCATAGCCTTGTTGTCGGAAAAGGTAGTTGATTTGATTTCAATTTTCTTAAAATTGCCAAGGCTTGATTTGTGACCCAAACTGTGATCTATCCTGGGGAATGTTCCATGAGCACTTGAAAAGAGAGTGTATTTTGTTGTTTTGAGATGGAATGTCCTATAAATATCAATTAAGTCATCTCATTTAATGTATCTTTTAAAGCTTGTGTTTCCTTATTTGTTTTCATTTTGGATGACCTGTCCATTGGTTACAGTGGGGTGTTACCCTACTATGGCTTTCTTACTGTCAATTTCCCCTTTTATGGTTGTTAGCATTTGCCTTTTGTATTGAGTTGCTCCTAAGTTGGGTGCATAAATATTTACACTTGTTATGTCTTCTTCTTGGTGTGATCCATTCATCATTATGTAGTGTTCTTCTTTGTCTCTTTTAATAGTCTTTAAAGACTCTTTATCTGATATGGGAATTGCTACTCCAGCTTCTTTTGATTTCCATTTGCATGAAATATCTTTTTCCATCCCCTCACTCAGTTTGTATGTGTCCCTAGGTCTGAACTGGGTCTCTTGTAGACAGCATATATAACGGTCTTGTTTTTGTATCTATTCAACCAGTGTATATCTCTTGGTTTGGGCATTTTTTTCCATTTACATTTAAGGTAGTTATTGATATATATGTTCCTATTACCATTTTCTTAACTGTTTTGTGTTTGTGATTGTAAGTCTTTTCTTTCACTTGTGTGTCCTGCATAGAGAAATTTCTTTAGCATTTTTTGTAACGCTGGTTTGGTGGTGCTGAATTCCCTTAACTTTTGCTTGTCTGTAAAGTTTTAATTTCTCCATCAAATGTAATGAGATCTTTGTTGGGCAGAATAATCTTGGTTGTAGAATTTTTCCCTTTCATCACTTTAAATATGTCCTGCCACTCCCTTCTGGCTTGCAGAGTTTTTGCTGAAAGATCAGCCGTTATCCTCAGGGGGATTCCCTTGTGTGTTATTTGTTGTTTTTCCCTTGCTCCTTTTAATATATTTTTCTTTGTATGTAATTTTTTATAGTTTGATTAATATATCTTGACATGTTTCTCTTTGGATTTATCTTGTATGGGAGTCTCTGTGCTTCCTGGACTTGACTGACTATTTCCTTTCCCATGTTAGGGAAATTTTCATCTATAATCTCTTCAAATATTTTCTCAGTCCCTTTCTTTTTCTCTTCTTCTTCTGGGACCCCTACAATTTGAATGTTGGTTAGTTTAATGTTGTCCCAGAGGTCTCTGAGACTGTTCTTAATTCTTTTGTTTTGTTTTGTTTTGTTTTTTCTTTGCAGTATGCAGGCCTCTCACTGTTGTGTCCTCTCCCATTGTGGAGCACAGGCTCTGGACATGCAGGCTCAGTGGCCATGGCTCACGGGCCCAGCTGCTCCATGGCATGTGGAATCTTCCTCGACCGGGGCACGAACCCATGTCCCCTGCATTGGCAGGTGGACTCTCAACCACTGCACCACCAGGGAAGCCCTGTCCTCAATTCTTTTCATTCTTTTTTCTTTATTCTGCTCTGCAGTAGTTATTTCCACTATTTTATCTTCCAGGTCACTTATCCGTTCTTCTGCCTCAGTTATTCTGCTATTGATTCCTTCTAGAGAATATTTAATTTCATTTATTGTGTTGTTCATCCTTGTTTGTTTGCTCTTTAGTTCTAGGTACTTGTTAAAAGTTTCTTGGGTCTTCCCTGGTGGCTCAGTGGTTGAGAGTCTGCCTGCCAAAGCAGGGGACTCGAGTTCGTGCTCCGGTCTGGTAAGATCCAACATGCCATGGAGCGGCTAGACCCATGAGCCATGGCTGCTGAGCCTGTGAGTCTGGAGCCTGTGCTCCACAATGGGAGAGGCCACAACAGTGAGAGGCCTGCATACCACAAAAAATATATATATATATTTCCTGTATTTTCTCCATTCTATTTCCAAGATTTTGGATCATCTCTGCTGTCATTTCCTTTAATTCTTTTTCATGTAGACTGCCTATTTGTTGTTCTTTTGTTTGTTCTGGTGGGTTTTTGCTTTGCTCCTTTATCTGCTTTGTGTCTCTCTGTCTTCTCTTTTTGGTTAACTTACTGTTTGGGGTCTCATTTTTTTCAGCCTGCAGGTTCATAGATTCTGTTGTTTTTGGTGTCTTCCCCCAGTGGCTAAGGTTGGCTCAGTGGGTTGTGTAGGTTCCTGGTGGAGGGGGTTAGTGCCTGTGTTCTGGTGGATGAGGCTGGATCTTTTCTTTCTGGCGGGCAGGACCACATCCTGTCGTGTGTTTTCGGGTGTCTGTGAACTTATTATGATTTTAGGCAGCCTCTCTTCTAATGGGTGGGGTGGTGTTCCTGTCTTGCTAGTTGTTTGACATAGGTTGTCTAGCACTGTAGCCTGCTGTTTGTTGAGTCAATCTGGTAGATAGAGATCTCTGGGAAAGCTTTCCCCATTTGATATCACATGGAGCTGGGAGATCTCTGGTGGAACAATGTCCCCAACTTAGCTCTTCCATCTCAGATGCACAGGCCTGACACCTGGCTGGAGCACCAAAACCCTGTCAGCCACACAGCTCAGAGGAAAAGGGAGAAAAAAATAAATAAAGAAAAATAAAATAAAATAAAATTTAATAAAATAAAAAATGAAGAAAAATTATTAAAAATAAAAATATTGATAAGTAATAAAAAAATTAAAAAAATAAAGAGAAAAACCAAACCAAAAAAAAATCCACCAATGATAACACGTGCTAAAATCTACACACACACACACAAAACAAACAAACAAACAAACAAACAAAATAAACGCACAGAGAGAATCCTGGGACAAATGGTAAAAGCAAAGCTGTACAGACAAACTCACACAAAGAAGCATACACATACACACTCACAAAAAGAGAAAAAGGAAAAAAAATATATATATATATAAAGGAGGAGAGCAACCAAATCTATAAACAAATCTACCAACGAAAATAAACTCTAAATTCTAAACTAAGGTAAACATAAAACCAGTAACGAATTATTTTCAGAAAGCAAAGCCCAAGTCTACAGTTGCTCCAAAAATCCGCTGCCTGAATTTTGGGATGAGTTGCTGTCTATTCAGGCATTCCACAGATGCAGGGTACGTCAAGTTGATTGTGACGATTTAATCCACTGTTTCTGAGGCTGATGGGAGAAATTTCCCTTTCTCTCTTTGTTTGCACAGCTCCTGGTGTTCAGCTTTGGACTTGGCCCCTCTGCTGCATTTAGGTTGCCTGAAGGCATCTTTTCTTCACTCAGACAGGACGGGGTTAAGTTAGCAGTTGATTAGGGGGCTCTGGCTAACTCAGGCTGGGAGGGTTGGAGGGAGGGGTATGGAATGTGTGGCGAGCCTCCCGTGGCAGACTCCTGCATGACATTGCAACAGTGTGAGGTGCACAGTGTGTTCTCCTGGTGAAGTCGTCCCTGGGTCGTGGGACCGTGACAGTGGTGCACTGCACAGTCTCTCAGGAGGGGTGGTGTGGATAGTGACCTGTGTTTGCACACAGGCTTCTTGGTGGCTGCAGCAGCAGCCTTAGCATTTCATGCCCATCTCAGGTGTTTGCACTGATAGCTGCAGCTCATGCTCATCTCTGGAGCTCGTTTAGGCAGTGCTCTGAATCGCCTCTCCTTGCACACCCCAAAACAATGGTCTCTTGCCTCTTAGGCAGGTCCAAACTTTTTCCTGGACTGCATCCCGGCTTGCTGTGGCACACTAACCCCCTTCAGGCTGTGTTCACCAGCCAACCTCAGTCCTCTCCCTGGGATCTGACCTCCGAAGCCCGAGCCTCAGCTCTGAGCCCCCACTGGCCCCAGTGGGTGAGCAGAGAAGCCTCTCAGCCTGGTGAGTGCTTGTCGGCATGGATCTTCTGTGTGGGAATCTCTCCTCTTTGCCCTCTGCACACCCGTTGCTGTGCTCTCCTTCATTTCTCCAAAGTTTACCCCCACCCCACCCCCCATCTCTGCCAGTGAAGGGGCATCCTAGTGTGTGGAAACTTTTCCTGCTTCAGTGCTCCCTCCCAGAGGGGCAGGTACCATCCCTATTCTTTTGTCTCTGTTTTCTCTTTTTCTTTTGTCCCACCCAGGTACGTGGGGATTTTCTTGCCTTTTGGGAAGTCTGCAGTCTTCTGCCAGCATTCAGTAGGTGTTCTATAGGAGTGGTTCCTCATGTAGATGTATTTCTGATGTATTTGTGGGGAGGTAGATGATCTCCACATCTTACTCCTTCACCATCTTGAAGGTCTCTTCTGCAGCACTATTTTCAACAGCCAGGACATGGAAGCAACCTAAAAGTCCATCAAGGAAGGAATGGATAAAGAAAATGTAGCACAATGTTGTACATATATACAATGGAATATTACTCAGCCATAAAAAGGAACAAAATTGGTTCATTTGTAGAGACGTGGATAGAGTTAGAAACTGTCATACCTAGTGAAGTAAGTCAGAAAGAGGAAGACAAATATCCTATATTAACTCATATATATGGAACCCAGAAAAAATGGTACAGATGATCTTATTTGCAAAGCAAAAATAGAGACACAAACGTAGAGAAGAAATGTATGGACATCAAGAGGGAAACGGATGTGGGATAAATTGGGAGGTTAGAGTTGACATATATACACTATTGATACTATGTATAAAATTGATAACTAATGGGAACCTACTGTATAGCACAGGGAACTCTATTCAGTGCTCTGTGGTGACCTAAGTGGGAAAGAAATCTAAAAAAGAGGGGATATATCTATAAGTATAACTGATTAATTTTGCTGTACAGCAGAATGTAACACAACCTTGTAAAGAAACTATACTCCAATAAAAATTAATTAAAAATATATTTGCTGCCTAACAGTGTTTTAAATAATGTTTTGTTTTCTTACTCCATCTCTTGCTATGACAGCTAGGTTTTGAGATGTAGATAAAGGAAGAGATGAAAGATCATAAAAATAAAAGAGTAATAAGGGTGTATTCTGGAATATGAAGAATTCTCATGATTTTATTTAAGAATATATTTTTCATGAATATATTTTTTAATAATTACTTAAGTAGCTTCTATTTGTTAGGATAAAATATTTGTTTAAAAATTCTTATTAACTGGTTTTTAATGTTTGTATTATTGTGTAATAATTAATGTCGATAAAGTTCTTCTTTGGGCAGAAAAATAATCTACAAATTTTCAATGCTGGAGAGGGTGTAGAGGAAAGGGAACCCTCCTACACTGTTGGTGGGAATGTAAATTGGTACAGTCACTATGGAGAACAGTATGGAGGTTCCTTAAAAAACAAAAAATAAAGCTACCATGTGATCCAACATTACCACTCCTGGGCATATATCTGAAGAAAACCAGAGTTTGAAAGATACATGCACCCCAATATTCATTGCAGCACTGTTATAATAGCCAGGACACAGAAGCAACCTAAATGTCCATCAAGAGAGGAATGGATAAAGAAGATGTGGTACATGTATACAATGAACTATTACTCAGCCAGCAAAAGCGAATGAAATAATGCCATTTTCCATGACATGGATGTATCTAGAGATTGTCATGCTGAGTGAAGTAAGTGAGACAGAGAAAGATAAATATCATATCATATTGCTTTTATGTTGAATTTAAAATAATGATAGATATTAACTATTTACAAAACAGAAATAGAGTCACAGATGTAGAAAACAAACTTATGGTTACCAAGGAGAAAGGGAGTGAGGGATAAATTGGGAGATTGGGATTGACATATACACTCTACTACATATAAAATAGATAACTGTTAAGAACCTACTGTATAGCACAGGGAACTCTACTCAATACTCTTTAATGACATATATGGGAAAATAATCTAAAAAAGAGTGGATATATGTATATATATATATATATGTGTATGTAACTGATTCACTTTGCTGTACAGCAGAAGCTAACACAAGATTGTAAATCCTCTGTAATCCAATAAAAATTAATTTAAAAATATATCCAGGGCTTCCCTGGTGGCGCAGCGTTTGAGAGTCCACCTGCCGATGCAGGGGACACAGGTTCGTACCCCAGTCTGGGAAGATCCCACATGCCATGGAGCGGCTGCCCCCATGAGCTATGGCCACTGAGCCTGCGCGTCCGGAGCCTGTTGCTCCACAACGGGAGAGGCCACAACAGTGAGAGGTCCGCATACCGCAAAAAATAAATAAATAAATAAATATATATATATATATCCATACAAAATATGTTAATGGAAGTACTTAATCTACAAAGAAAGTGATTATAGATGCTTATTCAAATCCACAGGAATAAATTACACTAGGACTAATAAACATATGCATAAATATAAATGACACTGTGGTTTTATTTTCTCTTTCTTCCTTTAATTGTGTAAAATAATAATACCAATACTGTATTTTTAGGTATATGTGTATATATACTAAATACTACAGCAACCACGCAAACACCAAATCAAAAAAATGTTATATTCTAAACAATTGGAAATTTTGTAGTGGTTTTATTTGCTTTTGTTCCCCATTCTCCCTGGCATGGTGAGGTCTTATTCTGGAGACAGTGGCAGTCCAGATTTCAATTCTTTCTACAGAACACAAAGAAGTAAAGCCACTCTTATTTGCTAAAGACTAACTAGTCTTTGAACTGTCTGATTGACTGGTTTCTGTTTCCCCTAATTTGGCTATCAGGTGGGGAAAGTTGGAGCCATGGCTGGTGAAAGCAGAAGGGGGCGATAGACACCTGGGTCAAAAAATTACAGGTAGGGCCATAAAAGAGACCATCTAAAGCCCTGAGGGGAATCTGGGCTGAGAATATTTGGAAAATTAAGACATTCAAATGTGATTATGAATACAGAATAACTGAGGAAGCCATATGCAGGTTCAGGCAATAGACATACTCAGAAGAGTTGAAAAGACCTTAAGCATTCATTTTGGGCTGCTTTCTAGGCTCAGAGATTTTCCAGCTAATTGGCAACAGATAAACAAAGAACAGAGCAAGTCTGCAAAAACCTGGGAGATTTGGCCGTTTAAAACAAAAAAAAAAAACCCAATTATCAACAACAACAAAACATCACAAGGCATACAAATAAACAAAAACTCATGAAGGAAAAAAAAACAGAAAAAATAAATTGGAAGAAACTAGTCCCAGAGGATGCACAAACACTGGAATTGCTAGACAAAGATGTTAAACAAACTCTCTTTAGGGCTTCCCTGGTGATGCAGTGGTTGAGAGTCCGTCTGCCATTGCAGGGGACATGGGTTCATGCCCTGGTCTGGGAGGATACCACATGTCACGGAGCGGCTGGAACTGTGAGACATGGCCACTGAGCCTGTGAGTCTGGAGCCTGTGCTCTGCAATGGGAGAGGCCACAACAGTGAGAGACCCATGTATCACAAAAAAACAAACAAACAAACAAAAAACTCTCTTTAAATCCCCAAAGAGGTAATGGAAAACATGACAAATAACTAAATAAAATCAGGACAACAATGTATATCCAAAATAATAATATCAACAAAGAGAAATTATAAGAAGAAATAAACTCTGGAGTTGAAAAAATGCTGAATTGAAAAATTCACTAAAATGGTTCAAAACAGATTTGAACAGGCAGAAGAAATAGTTTGAAGACAAAACCATTGAATTTATCAAATCTGAGGAACACACAAAAAATAAAACAATGGAAAAAAATAGCAGAGTCTCATAGAATTTTGGGAAACCATCATGCAGACCAATATTTGCATGAAAGAAGTCTCACAAAGAGAATAGAGAGAGAAAGCTGTAGAGATTATTTGAAGAAATAATGGCCTAAATCATCCCTAATTTGATGTAAGTTGTGAATCTAAAAATTCAGGCAGCTCAATGAACGTTCAGACAGGATAAACTCAAAGAGATTCAGACTGAGACATATAATATTCAAAAAGTCAAAAAAAATTTAAGAAAGAATATTGAAAGCAGCAAGAGAAAAGTGACTCATGATGTATAAAAGAGTCTCAATGAAACTATCAGCTGAAATATCAGCAAAAACCTGGACCTCAGAAAACAGTGAGACGATAAATTTAAACCGCTGAAAGCAGGAAATACAAACCCTGTATCTATAGGATTCTATAGCAGGAAAATTGTCCTTCAAAAATGAGTAGAAAATTAATACATTCCCAGATAAACCAGAGGGAGTCCAATATAACTAGACCTGCAATACAAGAGTTGCTAATGAAAGTCCTTCAGATTGAAGTGAAAGGACTCTAGACACTAACTTGAAAACACATGAAAATAGAAATATCTCCAATAAAGTTACATACATGGTAAATTTTAAATAATCTTTATTGTTATTTTGGCTTGTAATTCCACTTTTTATTTTCTACATGATTTAAAACATGAAGCATAAAATTAATTTTAAGTTAAGGGTACATTATGTATAAAAATGTAATTAACATGACATAAATATCATCAGAGCTATATAGGAGAAGATATTGTGAATGTAATTAGAGTTAATTTCATATCAATTTAAATTATATTATACTTTTAGAATGTCATATGTAATGCTCATGGAAACCACACAAAAAATATCAGTAGAATATGCACAAAACGAAAGGAAATAATAAGGAAATTAAAATGTGTCACTATAAAATTCAGCTACACATAAATGAAAGAAGTAATGGAGAAAATGGGAGACTAAAAAGCTATAAGACTTGTGGAAAATAAATAGCAAAATGCAAAAATAAGTTTTATCAGTCAATACATTAAAAGTAGATATAATATAAACTCCCCAATCAAAAGCATATAGGCAGAATGGATTAAAAAAATGATCTGCCTATGTTATATACCAGAGATTCACTTTAGATCTTAAGACACATATAGTTTTAAATTGAAGGTAGAAAAAAAAAATCAGAAGAAAAAAAAAAAATCAATGCAAGCAGAAAGAAAAATAGAATGGTAGTGCCTATACTAAATCATAGAAAATAGGCATTAAGTCAAAAATTGTTACAAGAAGCAAAGAACAAGTATATTAATAAGAGGGGTAACTAACCAAGAGCATTAATCAATTAAAATATATATGCAACAACATCAGAACTCCAAAATTTATGAAGCAAACATTGACAGAGCTGAAGGGAGAAATAGACTGTTCTACATTAAGAATTAGGAATTTCAGTACTCCAATTTCAATAATGGGTAGAACGACCAGATAAAAGATCAGTGAGAAAATATAACATTGAGCAAAACTATAAAGGCATATCTTGTTTGTCTGTGCTTTGTATTATTGTTCTTAGGGGATACTGTGTTTTTTACAAATAGAAGGTCTGTGGCAACCCTGCATCAAGAAAATTTATCACCACGATTTTCCCAGCAACATTTGCTTACTTCATGTCTCTGTGTGAAATTTTGGTAATTCTCACAATATTTTAAACTTTTATTATTATTATATTTACGATGATTTGTGATCAGTGATCTTTGATGTTACTATTGTAATTATTTTGGGCCACCACAAACTGTGCTCATACAAGACAGTGAACTTAAATGTGGTGTGAGTTCTGGCTGCTCCACCAACCAACCAGTCCCCCATCTCTCTCCCTCCCTATTCCTTGAGACACCATAGTATTGAAATTAGGCCAATTAATAATCTTACAATGACCCTTAAGTGTTCAAGTTAAAGGAAGAGTTGCAAGACTCTCACTTTAAATCAAACTATAGAAATGATTAAGCTTAGTGAGGATGGCATGTCAAAAGTAGAGATAGGCTGAAAGCTAGGCCTCTTGTACCAAATGGACAAGTTGTGAATGCACAGCCAAATTGTGAATGCAAAGGAAGACTTCATAAATGAATTTAAAAGTACTATTCCAGTGAACACACAATGATAAGAGAGTGAAACTGCCTTATTGCTGATATGGATAAGGTTTGAGTGGTCTGGATAAAAGATGAAACCAACCACAGCATTCCTTTATGCCACATCCTAATCCAGAGCAAGTTTCTAACTCTCTTCAATGAAGAAGAGAAGGCTGAAGATGCAGAAGAAAAGTTTAAAGCTAGCAGGTGTTGGTTCATGAGGTTTAAGGGAAGAAGCCATCTTGATAACATCAAAGTGTAAGTGCTGATGTAGAAGCTGCAAAAAGTTATCCAGAAGATCTAGCTAAGATAACTAATGAAGGTGACTACACTAAATGATAGATTTCAATGTAGATGAAAGATCTTTCTATTGGAAGAAGATGACATCTAGTACTTTCATAGCTAGAGAGGAGAAGACAATGTCTGACCTCAAACCTTCAAAGGACAGGCTGACTCTCTTGTGAGAGGGTAACACAGCTGGTGAATTTAAGTTGAAGCCAATGCTCATTTACCATTCCGAAAATCCTAGGAACCTTAAGAATTATGTTAAATCTACTCTGCATAGGCTCTATAAACAGAACAACAAAGCTTGGATGACTGCACATCTGTTTACAATATGGTTTACTGAATATTTTAAGCTCACCACTGAGACCTACTGGTCAGAAAAAAAGATTCCTTTCAAAATATTACTGTTCATTGAAAATACACCTGGTATCTCACAAGCTGTGATGGAGATGTGCAGGGAGATTAATGTTGCAATGTGTCATTTTGGCTTATTCTCATTTCAAGTCATTTGACTTTCCTTATTATTTAAGAAATACATTTTCTAAGGATATAGCTGCCAAACATAGTGATTCCTCAGATGAATCTGGGCAAAGTAAGTTAAAAGCCTTCTGGAAAGGATTCACTATTCTAGATGCCATTAAGAAAAATTGTAATTCATGGGAAAAGCCAACATATCAACATTAACAGGAGTTTGGAAAAAGTCAATTCCAAGTATAATAGATGATATTAAGTCATTCAAGACTTCAGTGGAGGAAGTGACTCCAGATGTGGTGGAAATGGCAAAATAACTAGAATTATAAGTGGAGCCTGAAGATATGACTAAATTGCTAAAATCTCATGATAAATCTTTAATGGATGAGGAGTTGCTTCTTATGGATAAGCAAAAAAAAATTGGTTTCTTGAGATGGAATCTAATTCTCTTGAAGATGCTGTGAATATGGTTGAGATGACAACAAAGTATTTGGAATATTAAATAAACATAGTTGGTAAAGCAGTGGCAGAGTTTGAGAGCATTGACTCCAAATTTGAAAGATATTCCTCTGTGAGTAAAATGCTATCAAACTGCATTGCATGATACACAGAAATCTTTTATAAAAGGAAGAGTCAATTGATGAGACAAACTTCACTGTTGTCTTATTTTAAGAAACTGCCAGAGACACCTCAACCTTCAGTTTGACTTTGACATAAGCCATACTAGTAGATGTGAGATGATATCTCATTGTTGCTTTGATTTCCATTTCAATAATGATTGGTGATATTGGGCATCTTCATATACATGCTGGCTATTTTTATGTCTTCTTTGGAGAAATTAATATTCAAGTCATTAGTCCAGTTTTAATCAGGTTATTTGTTTTTTACTTTGACTGGTAGAAGTTCTTTAGACACTGGATATTAATCCTTTTCAAATGCATAATTTGCAATGGGAGAAATGTCATCTGATAATTTACTTTTCCAATCTATTAATTATTTCCTCTTCTGTGCAGAAAATGTTTACATTGATGTAATCTTAATTGTCTAAGTTGTATTTTGTTGCTGTGTTTTTGGTTTCATATCCAGGAAAGCACTGCAAATATCAATGTCATGACGATTTTGCTCCATGTTTTCATTTAGGAATTTTAGACTTCTAGATCATAGTTTTAAATCTTTAATCAATTTTGAGAAAATTTTTGTATATGGTGTAATATAAGGGTCAAATTTCTTTCTTTCTTTCTTTCTTTCTTTCTTTCTTTCTTTCTTTCTTTCTTTCTTTTTTTCTTTCTTTCTTTCTTTCTTTCTTTCTTTCTGCATGTGAATTCCCAACACTCTTAACACTATTTGTTGAAGAAACATTCCTTTCCCCATTGTGTATTCTTGGTAGCCTTGCCAAAATTCAGTTGTCTGTTTATACATAGGATTATTTCTTATTATCTTTGGTCTAAATTCTGTTTTTATGTCTACGACTTACAGTTTTTATTATTCGAGGTTTGTAATATATTTTGAAATTAACAAGTGTGCTGTTTCCTCCAACTTTGTTCTTCTCTATCAAGATTGTTTTGGCTCTTTCTGGTGTTTTGCATTTCCATATGAATTTCTTTTTATACTGTTGTTAAAAATACCACTAGGATTTTGATAGGGATTGCATTGCCTATGTAGAACAGGTGACAAATAAAGAGAGCAAGAGAGTAAAAGAGGGGAAAAGGAATGATAAAACAGTGAGTAATCAAGTAACAAAATGGCAATAGTAAGTCCTAATCATTAATTACTTTAAATAAAAATAGATTGAATGCCTCAATCGAAAGACATGGAGTGGCTAAATGAATTTTAAATATTTCAACCATTATATGACAAACCCACAGCAAACATCATTCTCAATCATGAAAATTTGAAAACGTTTCCTCTAAAATCAGGACTAAGACAAGGATGTCCATGCTGCCACTCTCATTCAACATAGTTTTAGAAGTCCTAGCCATGACAATCAAAGAAGAAAAAGAAATAAAAGGAATCCAAATTGGGAAAGAAGTAAAGCTGTCACTGTTTGCAGATGACATGATGCTCTACATACAAAATCCTAAAGGTGCTACCAGAAAACTACTAGAGCTCATTAATGAATTTGGTAAAGTTGCAGGATACAAAATTAATACATAGAAATCTCTTACATTCCTATACACTAACAATGAAAGATCAGAAAAGTAAATTAAGGAAACATTCCCCTTTACCACTGCATCAAAAATAATAAAATACCTAAGAAAAAAACCTACCTAAGGAGGCAAAAGACCTGTACCCTGAAAACTATATGATGCTGATGAAATAAATCAAAGATGACACAGATGGAGAGATATACCATGTTCTTGGATTGGAAGAATCAATATTGTTAAAATGACTACACTACCCAAAGCAATCTACAGATTCAATGCAATCTCAAATTACCAATGGCAATTTTCACAGAATTCGAACAAAATTTTTACAATTTGTATGGAAACACAAAAGGCCACAAATAGCCAAAGCAATCTTGAGTAAGAAAAATGGAGCTGGAGGAATCAGATTCCCTGACTTTAGACTATTCTACAAAGCTACAGTTATCAAAGAATTATGGTATTGGCACAAAAACAAAAATATAGATCAATGGAACAGGATACAAAGTCCAG